TCTTGCCTCTCACTTTGATGACTATTAAAGCAAATAAGGTGATTTCATGTAGTCAAGAATTGGGACATACTAGAAAAAATATCTTTTTGAGTGTATTCATATGGGGAAAATGACTTTTCAAATTTAAATTGTCTTTGCTTTTGAGGGTAAAGATAGGATTTGTACAAAATTTACTTGAGACTTCAAATGAATAGGAAGACGTCTCATAGTTTAATAGTGCAAATAAAAGACAAAATTCGAATGTTGAGATCAGACATCTGTACATGGGGCTGTGAGAAGTGCTGGGGAAATGTGAAAATACTTTCAATTTGGCTTAGCTTTGAAAGTAACTTCTTAATCTGCTACCATGAGTTAAGCACTTGTGGGATAGCTTTATACCTCCTACTCAAAGCCCTCAGGGACAGCTCACCTGTCACCTCCACTTGTCCCTATATTTCCTGTGTGTAGTGCTGGCAGACAGAAGAGTTCAACTAATCTTGTACTCTCCCAGTTAAGGTAATCAGTAGCTACCGTGATTTCTTTGTACCTGTGGAGCACTGCTGAGACATAATAGCTCCAATAGTCAGATGTCTTCCTTAAAAATACACATCTCAAAATTCTTTTCTACTGACATGATGTTCTTTAAGAACTTCACATCAGATCTCAATATTTGTTATCCAAAGGTTGACAACATTCTGCAAAATATGTGGTAAAAAGCAACAGGAAGAGAGAAACAATTGGGTTTTTTTTTTTTAAATACTGGTTAATTTATTTCTGGTAGACAATTTTCTGTACTATCAGAGTATTCAGCAATTTTTGATTTGTTGCAGAAGAAGCACAGGCTTTGTGTAACTTTGGACTAAAAAAACAAACATCCTCAAAAGGCTGTCTATATGTGGCTTAGTCCACATGGCTTGAAGGTTGCTCTAAGTAACTATTGTGCCATGACTAGTGCAGAAAGACCTGATACTTTCCAATACCAAACACTATGAGAGTGATAAAACTAACTTATGTTTCTTTCCATTATTATGACTTTTTAAAGTTTTATTCTTCTGTAGGAAGAACTTGGGTACCTTTTCTTGGTTACATCATACCTCATGGTGTAAGGATGACTTGGATTATTTTTCTCAGTCTTCCTATAATTTCATTCTGATGTCTAAGTAACTTAATATGTCTGTGTCTCTTACTTTGGTTCCTGATGTGCAAACTTGAGATAGTAGAAATTCATGATATCATCAAGTTCTTGTGAGGTAGACTCCATTGCTGTGGTGACATTTTATGATATGGTGATAAGTGCTGTAGGAATGCCTGTGTTTTGTGATGCCTGCACTATGATGAATTTGTAGCATTTCTCTATTCACCATTGTACAATTTAATGATGATATTTTTCTACTCCTTCTACTGTAATACATACCATAAATCTGTCTGAAAGTAGACATCATCTTTCTTATGGCATTTGTACTTAGAATCTTGCTCCATCCTAGTGGTAAAAGGATACTTCAGTAGTTGAAATGTGGGCAGGGTTGAGCTCTGTCTCTGTCCCATGTCTTCAGACATACCCATTCCTGAGGGTCTCCTTTGAATGCCAGTGTGACTTAATTTTTCATGTATTTCAATAGAGATTCCAATGCTTTCTGGCAATTAGTCTCTGTTTTCAAGTTGTAGTTATCAAGGTGGTAACGATTTTTAAAACCTCCAGTAAATGTCACAAAATATTTATTTTTGCAAAAAGAAACTCTTGTTTCTCTCTGTTCCATCATACAGTGAGATTTTTTAGCCTCTCTCTCTAGGACTTGTAGAATATTTATAGCCTTGAAAATATAAGCACCATTTGGGGCTCTTTTGATATTCTTATGCCTATCCATCTGTAAATAGTTTGCTATCGTGTAAGTAATTGTGCATGTAAATAGGTAGCCCTCAATATTGTGTATTTGAAATCAAATTCAGAAATCAAAATGAGAATAATTTTATTTTAAATATGAAAGAATTATTTTAAGTGTGTTCAAAGGAAACTTAATCCATATCCATATGTATGTGTTTGCAGGTAATAAATTATGCTTTTCACAACGTAGTAGTGGTTGTTAATTCATAGGAATTCTGCATTTCTGCATTACAGCTGTATGTTTTCTAACAGAAGCAGAACTATCTTTCTTATACTTGCAACTTCAAAATGTAGGTCATTGTGTTGGCGAATGTAGGTCAGAGTGAGGAGGAAGAAGACAGAATTCAAACTCCTCCACATGGATCTTTAAGCTTATCCCTGTTTTGAAGGTAAAGAGGCTTACCTACCTGTTCAGGCACGTGAAGCTTTTCCTTTCACTAAAATTAACACTGGTATCCTGGCTTCTGGCTTCTTGGCTTAGCTGGGAGCATTGTGTGCTTCCACGCTTGTGACTTGCTCATGAAAGGCCTCCTGACTCCTGCTTCTTTAGCTTCCAGCTGCTTATGCCATTGCTGAGGTGACCTTTCCTTCCCTGTGGGGGAAGGCAGTGGGAAGGAGAGCTGTGCTCGTTGCTGGCATCTGCCTAAAGAAAAGCATTGTCCTTGCAAAGGTGCTTCACCCTTCTCTCAGCACAGAGCTATGTGATACACCTGCAGTTCCAGCCGATATCAACATTGAAATGGCAGCAGGGGAAGGACAGTGACCCCTCAGAAAAGATTCAGTGACACCATTCAAAGTGCCCTCTCAATAATAACTGCAGAAAAGTGAGAGACATTTGACTGAGGGTACTGAAAAGTCGGATGTTGAAGGGTTTGCTATAATTGACTAGTGTTTTTAAAATTCACACATGCTAGAAGTTTGCTGTGAAAGCGTTTCAGTTTTTTATGTTTGTGAGTGTGAGGGTTTTTGGAATGTGAGATATAAGTATTATAAATGGTGTTAAATTAGCCGTGTCTTCACTAAATATTAAAAAACTCTTATTGCTTGAGTATACACCAGTCACTGCAAACTGAAGCATTCTTTACGTTACACTCTAAAATATTTAAACAGTCATTATATTTATTGCAAAATCTGTCATTTTAGCATATTTCAGTGCTCAAAAGCATTGAAATGCTCAAAGGGAGATGAAAAACTCTGTACAATTCTTAGTGTATGTTTCACTAAAGAATGGGTAGTCTTGTGTGAGTATTTTATTTTAACCCTTAGCAAGTCTAAGAAAAATATCACATTCAAAAACACCTGATCAGACTGAACTGTCATAAACAGGACAAATACAAGTATTGCATTACTAATTTTGTCATACATATGTATCATCAGTCTATCTTTTTCCCTTTAAATATCTTTTTAATACAAATGTTATATGTAAAGTTTTGGACAAATCCTCTCTTGGCTTTTGCTTGATCTGCATGCAGTCAAGACATTTTAAAATTTATATTATTTCTCACTAGGAGTAAGGCTAGTTCAGAATACTTACTGGATGGAAAGGATGAATTATATTGATGATGGTTTCAGTCAGGCTTTAAGTGATTTAAAGGATGACAGTTTTTCTCCCAAACTCCTGGTTCTGTTAAAAATGTAGTGATGTTTTTAACCTTGAGAACAAAATATGGTAAAAATTATCTAAAGGATATGCATACATAGAAAGCTGCATGGAATTCAACTTACTTCTCTAGAAATATCTAAAAGATGCTCTATATGTCAAATAAGTTTACTGGAATCATTGAAATGTCTGTAGTTCATAATATGAAGTTTGTGTCTCAATTCTTAATGTCATGTGTTGGTGGAGGGGGGGAAGTCAACTCTGGACTTCACCTGTGGACAGACATGTAAACATGGTTTTTCATTGCTAAGCAACCACAGATGAAAAACACATACAAACATAATTCAGCTGCATATGCCTTTGATTCTTCCTCATTTAACTTTGGGAACCTTTGCAGACACAACTCAAGTTCCTGAGTATGAGTCTGGTTTCCTCAGGCTCCCTCCAGCAATGAAGTCTGGTGCCTGCAGGAGGGCATTCAAGGAACACAGGATCTGTGCTGTCCTTTCCAAGGGCCACAGCACTTCAGTTGGACATTCCAGTCAGGTGGGAAACTGGTCTGGCAAAACAGCCAGTTTCATAAGAGACTGGTTTTGAAGAAATAAATGTACATGGAAGCCTCCAAGTCGTTGTCAATGTTGATGATGACCTATGTAAGTTTTATGATGGAAGCTAATGAATTCAAGAATAATACAGATTAGGTGCAGAAAGTGTGAATGCTCCTGGCTATTTCTGTAGGAGAATTAGGGGAATTCAAATAAAAATGGCAGGGAAGCAAGTATAAAATGAGAGAGGAGGGGTTTCTTTATATAGCAGGGTGAAACTGTGGTGCTTCCTGGTGCAGCTCTAGAAAGTTTATCACAGAACAACCAGAACAATCCTTCAGTGCCTGTTAAGAATTTAGCACTTGTATCTCCTCTTCTCCTCCTTCTGAATTTCTTGAGCCACAACTAGAAATCACACTTTTCTTGCCCTAGCCCGGGATTTGTCCTTAGCATGTGCTGCTTACAGTCAGACTGATGCTTGACCTAACACAAACTTAGAGAAAAGGAGCTAAATAAAAATAAACTGGAAAGAAACTGAGTGACTGTAGGATGATTATGATAATGGTGATGATGATGTAGCTAATGAAAAACTAGAGGGCTCCTGTCCCCTGTTGTAAATAGGCTACAAGGCAAAGTTGGCCTTTCATCTGGCCTAGTACAAACAGGTTGATGTTCATGTGAATGCCCAAGTGAATTAAATTTTATGTGACTTTTAAAGTCTTGAGTATTGCATATATATGTGTAGATATTGGTGTATGTTTATGTGTGTGTATGCATGTATCTATAAATTTCTGATCACTAGTTGTGATGAAATCTATGAAATACTCAATTCCAATGCTTAAATCCTAGGTCTTCTTTTTGTTTTTCTTTTTATTTATGGCAAATATAGAAAATAAAACAGTGGGTAGAGCTCTGCAAATGGTAATATGCATTCAAATATTATTTTATACCAGAAAAAATCTGTTCTAAGAAGGCAAATATCTTTGTTTTATAGGTCTCTGGCCATCTGAAGAAGTGCTGGCTTACTACTGCCTAAAGCATAATGAAATATTCAGGTACAGAGTTAAACATAAAAAGATATTTTCCAATCTCTTAGTTTTATTGTATCTGCATGGTAAAGATTGCTATGATTTAAGTCTTCAGATTAAATTTAAAATGTTCAAGGTGAAAGCATGTTGCTCTTAACAAAGAATTCTCAGCTGCCTTTGGGTACTAATATTGCACAGCAAGCTTTCTGCTATATGTCAAAGACTTTTGATTTCCACTCAAGGCGTTTTATTTCACTTTGATTTTTGGGAAACAAAAGTGAAGCTCCAATCGATCAGTGCTGATTGTGAAGGTCAGGAAAAATAAGATATTCTTTAAACTGACATCTGTTGCAAAAGCAAGCAAAATATTATCTGATGAAATACATAAAAATCGCTGCTTATAGTAAGAGGAATTTGCACTCATTTTTAAGTGTTGTGGAACAGTTTTGAAACATCCTTCACTTTTATTCAAAACTTGTAGAAGTCAGCTATCAAGGCTCCAATAGGAACATCTGAATATAAAATCTGTCCTGCATCCACTTTCCTTCCCTCTGACTATACTGAGATTTGCACTTGGAAATCCTTGAAGTTTCATTGTCTGAGGGACGAATAGGGTGCAAAAAAAGCTATTATAACAATGCATTTGGAGGCAAAAATTCTGTTCTGTGTGAGGGTGTAAGGCAAATATCAAGTAAACCAGACTTGGATAGAAAATCCCAGTCTGTGTAAATATGGCATTGGGTAAAATCAGAAAGACCAAACTGTAAGTCCCTGCCCCTTGTACCAAATGAGCAACTTGCTTAGACTCCTATCTGTAATCAAAGACTGTCAGGTTTCTTGCTGCTGCAATGGCTTCCGAGGTATTTAAAAGTCTTTTTTACCAGCCCTTCACTTGAAGAAGAAGTTGGGATTCTTCGGCTTTGGTTTTCAAGGTTGTTTATTTTCTCTTGTCTAATACATGCTTTTTCGGACCTGTGGAGGTCTGTCCAGCAGGTCACGTTGAGGCACTGACCGCCCTCAGGGCACTGTTACCTGTTTATACTAAAAACTACATGTACTTTATTTACTACAATTTTCCAATACCCTGTCACCTATGTTAGACCTTGTCTCTATCCTAAACCAATCCAAAAGTGCCGCCGTCACAGTAGAAGATGGAGGACCAGAAGAAGGAGGAAAAGGTCACGCCCAGATTCCTCCATTTTGCCTCTTGAACCCCCATTCTAAGAACCCCAAAAATTCTACTTTTTCACCCTGTGATAAATTTACTATAATTCTATTCAAACCCCTGTGGCTTGTAACTCCTCGCACAAAGTTGGTAACTGCTTCCATGGATTAAAATTGAAGTCAGACTGTCTCTGACTCCGTGCCCAGGTCTCTGAGCCTCCTGCCAGGGTCTTGAGTCCTCCAGGGCAGTGAGAGGAATGTCCTGGGTTCCAACAAAAGACCTGGCACCCAAGTGTGCCATGGTCCATAAAGCCTCATTCCTGCTCCATCCACCACCTGAACAAGCGTGGCCCGTTAGGGGAGGCAGCTCACACACCTGACGTGGCAGCCGCTGCTCCTTCCTCCCAGGTTGGTTGTGTGCCTTCTGCTGCTGTAGGGATGTCCCTGTAGCACTTTGCTGTCTGGCCCCATGCTCATATGCTCTACTTCTTCTCCAGGGCTCCTCACAGCAAACCTCCCGTGCTGCTCACTCAGAGGGTATTTTCCCAGTTTGGGTATGCAAGCCGCGATATTCAGAGACAACTAGCAGTCAACTTCCATGGAGTAAATGGGCAGTTTCACATCCTGATTTCTCAGGGTCATGCCCTTCTAACAGTACTCTCAGAGTAGAGTTTCTTATGTGAATTCCCATTTATAAATGTCACTATATGTTGCCTGAGAGACAGATACAACTTTTAAAACTTGCTAGTAAGGGAATTGGCACTGAAATAAATTTCATATGCATGAATATTTGTGTGTATATGTGAATGCTCATTTACTTTGTACATAGAAATTTGGTTCAAAATGTACTAAAAGCCTTACACTGGATACTTTCTGTGTTTATTTCACTAAGTATGATTCTTATAAAGGAGTAAGTGCCTTGTAAACCTTATATATAACCATGTGTATATAGTTTTAATATATAATACACTTGGTTTAGAAAAACTAAAATTTATTTGAGGAAAAACCTATAATCATTCTGTTTAAAAATACAAATTGCAAATTTCTCCATTTTATTTTAATATTATTACTGGGTTTATGTACAGCTTGTTCCTCCAAGGTATGTCTTTCTTTTGTCTCATTTTGATTAAATAGGACAACTAGACTTTTTTCAAATAAAATTTGTGGTGTCTTAGAAAAATAAATCTAACCTGTCCAGACAGTGAGCATTATTATACAGTCATACAGCCTAGTCTGCTCGCCTCAGTGAACAAAATATCAGCATCTTTATACTGATACTGATATGGCATCTTAGATGCTCTTCCTAAATATCAGTGTTGAGTGAGTAGGGAGGTGACCCTTTCAGATAAAAATAGACTTTCAGATGTAAATGTTTTAAGGGAGAAGAAATGATGTACCAAAAAAAAAAAAAAGCAACCAAGAAACCCTCCAAAACCAAACTCAACCAACAATTAAGCTAAAATTCCATTTTCTGCCTATCAGAAGTGTCTCAATGGGAATGCTCCTGCCAGCTGTAACAGTTGCCGCAGATTTTACTATAAAGCAGCATGTTCCTAAGCTGAGGCTCTGCCTTGCCCCAGACACTGCTTCACACACAGTTTCAGTGCAGGGTCAGCATCCCTCCCTCCTCCCCTCCTGGGGCAGGCCATGGCTCTGGAGGACATTCTTTATGGCTCCCCCGCAAGCTGCCATCCGGCACACTCTCTGCGCCAAATTATATTTCACATGCACGTCTTAATAACAGCACAGTATGGTCTAAGTTAAAAGCAGCCTTTTAGACCATGTATTCAGCCCTTTGATCGGGCTCAGTTTAGGCTCTTGACACTAACTTCGTTTCGTTTTCTGAGGCTTAACCGTTTGCTGTTCCCATCGTTGTTCATAACAGCATTGTTTGTAGGTCACTTGCAGTTTTAAGTGCTAATTGAAGGATCAGATTTCTTCATGTGTAATTATTTTGTAGTATATGGCTTGCTTTAAAACTTCTCTCTTTTTAATATAAAAAGGCTTTTAGGCATAACTGTATGGAGAGATCTATAAATAATATTAATTTCCCCTTTTACTTCTCTAGCTGTTTTTGCAAGAATGAATGTGGATTAACATTGTTATCCTTTCCTAACAATTATCTTTCGCTACTCTAGCTAGTTTAGTTCTAAAAGACAGAGCCATTGACAAGGGAAAAAAGGGAACCTTCTCAGATTTTTCAGCTCAGCGGTGGTAATGTTGCACTGAACACTAATGAGGGAACCCCCACTGATTTGCCTGCTTTGTGACTTTTCTATTTCATAATTATTTTTAAAACGCAAAACGACATGAGGTAGCCTAGTCATGTCTCTACAACTTCCTGGTAGCTCAGTTCTTACTGCAGATGGCAATTTGTTCTTGTAACATATATGTCTCTCTGACCATTTTCATCTAATTTGTATGGGTTCTACCATTTCCTTTCTCTCTTTCAGGGACCTTGCTGTGTGTGAGCTAGGGGGTGGCATGACATGCTTGGCTGGGCTCATGGTAGGTCTTTTCTCAATTCCAATCCCATTCAGAGGAAGAAACAAAAGGAAAAATGTTCCAGTGCCTCCAACTGCTGGGTCAGAGAACTGTCAACAGCCTCAGCTGCGGTCAAGCTGCAGAGTCTTGAGAGACCTTCTAGATTGACTTGCTTTCGTATCATATTGATTTTATGGTTGCCTCGATGAGCAGAAACATTTTACCTCAGTGTAGTCAATATCTTTTGTTGTGACATTCCAGGCCACGTACTGTCTGTCTTTCATTGCCATAGCCGAAGCTTTTTTTTTTTCAGATTATAGTCCCATTTGCTAAGATACAGGAATAGCCTGGCGAATCACAGTTGGAGCACCATGATATAGCTGCTAATGTTTTGCCTGCATTATTACACCAACAAACATGATCCAGAGCTCTCGGTAATTAGATTCTTTTGAATTAGATTGGCCATTCAGGAGAGTCGTTCACCATTCTCTGGGTTCTGAGTCATGTATTCAGGAGATATTATGTAGCAGTGCAGTGCATTAGACAAGTTTTTATGTCTCTACAAATAAAAGCATATTGTTACACTGATTGGCATTTGACAAACCTGTCGCTCTTATACAATGTGTCGAGGTTACAGCCCAATGTGCGAGCATGTCAAAGCTCACAAAAAAATTACCCTTACAAAGCCATCTGCCTGCAATGCAAAGTTATATGAAGGGCATCAGGCAGTCAGACAGAAGCAAGCTGAAAGGCAGAGTGACAGCCTTGTATGATGGCTCTACTAGATAAACAGAAGCCCGCAAATGAAAGCCTCTCAGAATACCATCATCGGCTGTCACAATGCAATTACGGAACAGAATGATAGCAAGATAGAGGCTCCCGCAAATGGAATGATAAAAGTATTGACTGATTTGATTGAATGATTAAAATAATGCAGACATAAAATGAAAAAAGATTGAAGATTGTTACAGAGAAATAGGTGAGGAAGCATGATACTGAAGGCTTGTCACTCCTGTCTTCACTTCCACACAGACAAGCATATTTGCTCATTGTTTGCTGTGCTCTTTTTTTCAGGTTGCTATTTCTGCAGATGTCAAAGAAGTTCTGTTAACTGATGGAAATGAAAAGGCCATCAAAAGTATCCTTATTCAGATAGAAAACTGATTTGTTGTGCTCGTTCCTTTTTACTGGCTGAGTAACAATCGATATAAAGACAGACAGCATGGGGCATATTAAGAAAAAGTCCCCACATAAGTAATTAAAAAACAGATGTGGAATATCTTGAACAGAGCAGCAGCTTCCCCCATAATAAATGCCACATTTTCTCTGTTAATTAAAAATGCACATGTTGGTATAGAGCACGTACTGTAGTAAATATTTGCCCCGTGGTTGAGTGCTGGAGGATTCATGTGTGTGTGCTGCACATCACAGGAGGTGTAGCAGGGAATCAAATCATCAGCTCCCCTCCATGTATGCGTTTTGCATAAGGGTTAAATTTTTTTTTCTACTTTCAGATACAAGCCCATTAAAACATACTCAGCATTCATATATTTTTCAGAGCTTTCCCAGTGTGTGTTAAAATGTTTCATTGTCACTGCTAAGTTATAACTGCCTACAAATTGCCCATTTAGTCTGCTTAATCAATTACCAATTTATCATTATTTCTCTTGATGTAAGATTGCAGAATTCCTCTGTCCCTTGTAGGAAGTATTTTATTGTATTTCTTATATTAGAATTAATTGCTATTATGCCATTCTAATATGAACAGATAGTTCATAAAATTGAACTGGACTTGGGTTAAGCAAGAGAATGAGTGAGCATAATTTGTGGCCACATTAAATATCAGCACAGAACAAGAACAGATATATATGGTGAATACTAATAGCCCTTAGAAACTGAGAGGAAAAAAAGGAAGATATCTATTTGCTTTTGTTCCTTGATAATATTTCCATTTACATTTTCAAGCAGGCTAATTTTTCAGGTTTTGGCCACTGCAGCATCAGAATTATTTCTTTTTGATATTTGTATATATTTGAGAGCTAATGTAGTAAATGTAGTACTTAGTAAAAAAAATAAACTAATCTGTAGCTTAAATGAATTGCAGTTGCTGATGCCTGTTAAAACAGGAGACATTTCAGTGCAATAATATTAGCTATTACCTTTTAAAAAAACTTTCTCAGAGGTTACCCTGAGGTAACTTTAATTGCTGACAACACTTGAACAATTTCATGTTAAAAACAGTCAATCCTAGATCATATCTGTTAGAACTTGAGGTAAGCCTGCTAAAAGTCCCCTTTTTCTTGAAAAGGCAAGTTCTCACCTGTTTTCCAAGGATTATTATTTTGTTAAATTCTAATATGTTAGACTGGTGTCGTTAGGAGGAAGTTTTCATTATTCTGTGTATTTTAATCTGCACCACCCTTCCAATCTTTCTTCCTTGTCATTATGAAGATAAAACATGTAGGAGAAAAGAAGTGTTTCAAAACTAGTCTAACAAAACAAGCTCATGTTGTATAGAAGCATAGATATTTAACAAAAGGTCATTTTACCCACAAAAAGCTTCAGGTGGGCTCAGTAATCATCAAGTCAGCAAATGTCTTGCATAGCAGATTCTATAAACCTGAACTTTTTTGAAATTTAGAAGTCTTTTATAACAGAAAATTGGCAAGCGCGAAAATATTCACTCAGTCCTTGGAATTAAGCAAATAAAAGTGCTTTTATTCCTGAAATAAATACTGTTAATATTACCTAATTATCACACCTTAGTTTTTCACAATATGTTTTAGAAATGTCTTCTGTTCCCAAAAGTCTCACAAGAGGTCTTCATCTGTATTCACTCAGTGAATCCCTTTCAGGGAAGTGATTGGTGCAAGGCTCTAACAGGAATTTATTTTTCTTTTTTAACATTTGGTGCTCAGAAGGCTCAGCATTCAGAGTGCTTTTATTGTGTTGGATTTTACAATGGGCTTAATATTAGCAGGGTGCCAAAGTGCAGCAGGCTAAGAACTTTACTGTGTAGGTGAAATGTATTCTTAAAAGTGCACATAATAAAATTTCTGTTGCATTTTATATGGTTTATGGACTTCAGTAGTAATTTTATGATCTGTCTTACGGTAATTTTCTTTTGCACTCTTTCCTACGGTGACTGGCTGTAATAGAAGTTTAGGCTAAATTTAGATCTGTTTCAGCCTCCCCAGACTCACTGAAATCAGGGTAGAATTTTAGGTGTAATTGGAAGTAGCATTCACCCCAAGTGCCACTGGCTACAAATTATGTAGTTTTGCTAGTTCTTACTATTGCTGATGGTATTTTTTGATTGTTTAGCATACCAAATTGAAGTAATGTGGGATAAAATACTGTTTTCTTTTCTAGATTCTGCTCTTCAGGAATAGTTAATGTCTAGTATTATGGTTTTTATGTAGGTATTACAGATTAAAATAATCTTGTTTTAAAATTACTGTTTACATCTTTCCTTTAAATTTCTTAGGAAGCTTAAATTACATGTCAGTCATACTATAATATTCAAAAATTACTTTCCAAAAAGTAAAAGTAATTGTCAACAAAAAAGAAAAAAATCCCTGTCAGAAGCCAGGAAATCACCAAGCAAGCCTGCTAATTATTCTTAATGGGCAAGATGAGCACATTAAGAAACAAATGAATACATCAGTGAAATGTAATTGAAAATCGACCTGGCAATAGTGCATTGCATCTGAGAATCTGCCTTTGTATTATCAACATCATCATAATTATTGTTGTTTTTGTTGTTGCTATCCCTATTCAGTGAGCATAACTAACAGCTTTGCTTTGTGAAATCTCAAGCTTTTGAAGATTTGATTTTTCATTTGATTTTTGACATGCTTCCTATTAGTCTCCATTTCATACTGCCACATGGAGTACTCACTATGTGTGTTTTCAATATCCATATTAGGATACATTATTGAAATGTTAGAAGTTTAAAAATTTCTACAAATGAATTATTCAAATAATTGTTGCCATTCTAACCCTCTCATTGTGAAATCTATTGCCATATTTTGTATTAGTCAATGATCTTATGTATGATGTTTATGGAAGTTTTTAAAAGGATGCTATGACTTGAGTTGCTAGACTATTTAAAAGACTTCACTCTAACTCCTTTTGCTTATCATGAGCAGGTTTGAATTTATTCAATAGATCGTTTATATTGCAAAATCAATAAAATAAAGACAGGTGTTACTCCTTTTGCCACTTTGTTCAGAACTTTATTGCTAATTTAGTGTGTTTTATCTAAGTTCTTTCAGTATAATTTAAATAAGCAAAGTTTTAGGATTAAAACTATAGACATTTCAAGTGAATAATAGAGATAAACATGAGCAGAGCTATCAGATCCATCTCCTGTTGTAATTTTGGGTGATATTCATTCAGATAGAAATTTTCAATTTACATCTGTGACATAAGTCAGTCATGAACACCAAATTTTATTTTCTCAAACCACTAGAAGCATGTTTAGTGTGTTGACATTTCCAAATCCAAGGATGAGGTTCCTTTTAGTAAGAATGGTCTCCTATTTCAGAGAGGCTGGATGCTTTCTGCCTTAGCTCTATTTCACACCATGCACTGGTGACTTGAACTACTGTCTGAAAGCATCAATAGTACAAAACATTGTTACAGTGTGCTATAATGGCCATTAAAATAGAGTGTATGGATCTTTCAACAGTCCAGGGAAATTTAGGTTAGAAGGGTCATGTTTAGCCTGAATGCCTGAAAATATGGACTCCTAAATTATTTTTTAAATCTAGTATTAACGTGTTTATAGCCATTATTAATAGTTTTGCTCAGTTATATAATTGAAGTGCAGTGTAGCTAATTTATCAACAATGCTCTTTCTGCACCTCTTTAAAAGTAGTAAGGTCTGCTCATGGAGTTATTTATGCCTTACTTTTGCTGCCCAGGTGTAGACCATTCATTTACTACTCCTCATTATATACTGTGGAAACTATTTAAAAGGCACATCAAAACTACAGAGATTTGTTTAAACCAGTTTTCTGTCATTCCATTTCTAGTCTTTACTTCACAAAATACCAGTGTTTGTCTTTTCCAGTGTTTGGATAGAGACTTTCCTGAAATAACTTTTCTTAAATAACCAACTCTATTAGGAAGGAAAATTATGTGATTTCAGCAAAGCAAAGAAAAGATGTATCAAAGCAAAGAAAAAGGTCGATCAACAATATTTCAAATTAGCCTGACTCTTGTATTCAATTTTCTTATAAGAGCACTTTCAAGAGATCTGACATATTTTGTGGAGCTAGAAACATCCTCCTAATTAACATCAGATTTCCTATACCTTAAATAAAAAAGAAGGATCTTTTACATCTTTACCAAAAATGTCTGTTTAAAATAATTATTTTAAAATAATTATTTACATTTGAAAGTGAACCATTCAGGAATGCATGGATTCACACTGGGTAACAATTAATATTCTCACAGTTTTCACTTACTTACTACACCTTTGGATTCCAGTGCTCTTCTCACTAACCACATGTGATCAATCCTGACAATTATCTTTGTAGCCATACATGACTGGGCCCAGCTTCCCCTGAAAGTTCTCCTTGACAGCCTTTGCTTTAACCTGACTGAATGGCTACCCAAATTTGTGACTTGAACTTCCAAACTACAAGAAGCTGAGACACAAGGCTGAGGTACTGTTGCGGTATTTTAGGCACTTACTGCTTTCCACTATAGTTACCTTTAAATATCTGAGGTATGGGACACATTTTTTTCACTTCCCTCTATAGCTACAGGGCTAGAAATTCCTTAAATAAAAGAGTAAATAGAAGTAGGAAACAAGAGCAAATTGCTGCATAGATCTATGGCTGTTGCGCTGGAGTAGCAATGTAAAATGTATGCTTCTGAAAAAAGCACAGATCAAAGAGGAACAAACAGTCAAGAACATTATGAAGTCATTATAAATGGAAAATAGTTGGGTTTGTTATTTTTATTATTGCTCTATTTTGTAGATAATTCTTAACAGTTGTACTACAGATGTAAATGAGATCATCACAAGAAACCAAAATGCTGGAGTATTTAAGGCTCAGAAGGTGTCAAGCTGGTAAGATTGTACTTTTTTACTGATTCTTGCAAGTACTTCTGTATTAATACAGATGTGACATGTATGCACACGTGACCTGTTACTGATGCTCACACAGGTTTGTGTATGTAAGTAGGTAAGTGATGCAAGAAAGAAATTTAAAAGTATTTATAAAAAATAGCAAATACAGTATGATTAACCTTGATGGCAAACCCTCACTTACCTTTTTACCTTTTTTAAATTTACGCTGTGTCTCTTCAGTCTGTGATTTAGTGCATGATTGAAATTTGTCTCCTTCAAAGTCAACACTACCTGTTGTACTGAAAATGAGATTTGGAATGAATGTATCTAAATCTCTGTCAGATTTCATTTTAAATAGCTCTGAAAATTTAGGGTGACAAGAAATCCCATTTGCCCCTGAGGTGGATGTTGTTGGAGCATCCATGGGAGGTTTTTTGGTCGTCCTGTTTGTGTGATCATTATGTTGTCAGTGCGAAGACAGGTGGGGAGATGGGAACCTAGAACAGTGTATTCATCTCTCGCAGTACTTTAAAAGTAAATTATAAAGCACTTCATATTTATGGTATAAGGTTAAGAAATAGAAAATGGTTACCTAGGAGCAAATAGTACACTCTTACTTGTGTATTAAAATTTTTTTTGTTGACTCACATTGCAGAGGAGCACTCAGTCCTTCTAAAACTGGCAAAAGTAAAGCTGAAAAAGGGCTGAGGAAGGCATAGTGTTAATGCAGAATAAGCTTACATCCATAGAGGGTTAAATCCGTATGGTTTTAATGGCTATCATTCATGTCATTTAATCCTATGCCTATGCAGCCATTCTATATAGAGGAGTTAGTTCAAGTGAGCATTTAGGGCTAGAAAAATTCTGCCTTCATTAGGGTGTGTGTGCATAAAAGTTATAGATACATTTCTGCATCCTAATAAGAGCCTGCCAAGCAGACAGAGGCCATGTGGATCCCAGGAATGGTCTTTCAGGTCCCATGTGCTGAACACCTCTTGTGAGCAGTTTCAGACACTCTGCTAAGGAGAGGCTGTGTGGTATGTACATCCAGAAGCTTAGATTTTTTTTTAGATTTCCAATTGTTCTATACGGTTTGTGAGATTTCAGATTTTATCCCTTGTCAAGACTTCAAACCTGGTCTTTTAGATATCAATCAAAAGCACATTTTCTACCCTGTTCTCATTTACATTTATCTAATGCTTAAGGTCATTTGTGATCATTTGAGTGTATTTCAGCATATGGAATCAGTGAATAATAGATTTCAGCCTCACGCTGTGAGGAAAGATTGTGTTTTTACAAGACATGATGTTGTTTACTGGGTGTTAATAATCACTAATTAATAAACATATCTAGACATCATAAAATGTTGCATTTTAAGGAGTAAAAATGTCAAGTATTTAACTTCTTGAGTGCAATAGTGTTTGAGGCCTTATTTGCATAAATAAAATAATTAAATTACAAAATCATGTGAAGTACTATATGAAAAGACTCATTATAACACTCGATTTCTAATTCTACATTCTTAAGGGTTTTGCAGATTTGTTGTACAAGTATAAAGTTTTATAAAATGACTATTCAAATGACTCTCTAATGGATTCATCAGTCCTTCAGATTCAGTAATGATGTGGTGCAGTAACAAAGTTACATGATCCATTCTTAATGCCTTGAGGGAACTAAAAGGCTGATGTAAAGTCTGAAGTAACCTTGATTCACTTTTCCTGCAGATGAAAAACCTTAGTTACATAATAGGGAGGGGGAAAAAAAAGATTAAAAAAACCCACAAGAAAATACAGAAAGTGTAGTGTTTTGGACGGAAGAATGCAACACTGGCATGCAAAGTGACATTCAGTAACTTCTTTTACATTGATCAGATTTTTCAGGCAAATTAATATAGTGATGTCTGTAAGTGACTTACTAAGCATCAATTTAATCTGGAGAAGGCATCTTCTTTCCCATAATCATTTAGACAGCGCCCAGTCTTGCAACTTCACAGTGGCCAGTGTAAAGTTAAAAGATTCCTTCTGTATAAAAGATGATTCAGAATAGACTCTTCTCACAGCACCTTCATCTTATGTTAGGATCTTGCGCTCTGTTCCTGGCACAGGAGCAGAAATTATCAGTCTGAGAGTCAGTTTGAGACTGTTCTGGATATTTAAGTCTATGCCTGGAAAGTATGCCAAAACCTGCATGGAGCAAAAAGGAACAATCTGGTATCAGCCAAGAGAAGTTAGATTAGGACAAGCTGCCATACATTTATTTATTTAGATTTATACAAAATGCAGTAAATGAGCACTTATCTAGCTCTCTGCCAAGTCTTGATTATTGTTTAAAAATACGGTAATGTAAGCCAAACTGGCAGTTTGTCATATTGTGTGTTATAATGTAATAATAGTAAACAGTTTACTTTGCAGTGGATATACAATTCTATTTTATTTTTATTTTTCATTTATATGCTCAGGATTTCTTGCTTATGTTTACTAGAAATAGGTACAGTAATACCAAGTTACTAGTAATGTCTGGCCATAGTGAAGGGTATTAATACCGTCTATGGGTTCAACAATTTTATTTTTTTTACAATTCAGAAATTATCCATGAATTACATTGTTTACCCTATAACTTAGCATATGTTTCTTTGTATAATCAGATGTTACTGGTTTGACATGGTTTATCATTGACATGGTTTATCATTGTTTTAACATGTCCACCAATCATTAAATTAACAACAAAGACAAGAAATCCCCACTCCTTGTTTTCTATTTGTTGTAATGGGGAAATCTTCCTGACACAGCTGTTAGAGTAGTAGAAGTTTGAAAAGTTGTTGTTATTACAAATGTCATAATGGAAAAACTTACTGAATAGGAAGGCTTGCAATGTATTCTGCAGGTTAACAGACTCAGTCTGTCCTACCGACTAGGGAATTTGTTCTTCCTTCAGATTCCCTTGTCTGAGAATATGGAAATCTGTAAAGAACAAAAGTTGTGTTCTAATTGCTGATATGGGACCTGTGGAGTTTTAGCCATGGAGAAGTCTATTGTTTTGGTAAGAGTTGCCTCAGAGAGATTCCATTTCATGTGAGAATGTAAACAAGGACATGTAACATCAAGCCAGTAACAGAAATGCTTGTGGCAGTGCACCCTTTGGTTTGATTAGTAATAGTGTATCATATACTCTTTATTCATTCCACAGTCATCTTTAGAACACACATCAAGAATTAATGACCATGTAACTAGAGAGACAATTCCTTCTGCTTAAAGATCAACAGACAGATTATAATTTTATTCGAGATTTTAGTGTTCCTTTCCAATGTAATGCAATTACAAGTTTCCAGAACTAAATCCATAATAAAAAAAAGTCTTTCAAAATGCTGAATGGCATCCAGCATAACAGTGGATGAGGTCTCAATGACAACACTGAACTATATTGTCCTGATTGCATTTTTGTATTTCCTCTTCATAATTGCAAAGGTGAATATTTTACCGTACTGCAATGTTCTTCAAATATATCAACTTCACAACCTTCCTAATTTCAACTGGTCTTGTAACAGGTTCCATCAATGTGGGACAGACTTGCTCTCTGCTTTCATTCATCAAAATGACCTGAGTGTTGGTAAATTCAAACTTTTTCCAACATTTTATTGAATTCGCTGTGTTTGTCACCTTAGCAACCCTAAAGGTATCCCTTTTTTCCAACTACTTTTCCAGTCTCCTCAAATAACTGTCTTGCATGACAGCATCTGTAGGTAAGGAGGAAGCTGCCAAAAGGAATATTTCCTGCTCTCTGGTTAGGAAGAAAAAGTTGCTGGTTCCTGCTCACTTATTGATCACTTTTTGTGTAAGTGGAAAGAATGGTCTGTGTGCTGCTGTCCATTCTGAAGTTGTAGCTCTTTTTCACAGAAAACTCAACTCAGGTGGAAAGTATTCCACACCTCTGATCGTACTTGCCCTGCTTTACATCTTTTTCTGTTTCAATCTACTTATTTTTAGATGACTGTGATCAGTACTGATCACAGTACAAAGTGTGCATAAATAGGTACATGTAGTGGAATAATTACGCTTTTTGTTCCCCTTCTAAAAATGCTTAACAGTGATTGGCTTTTTTCACTGCAGTTGAGCACAGAGCTAATAGTTTCATGACACGGTCTGTCACAACATCAAGAGCTTTCCAGTGACGGTCATTTTGGAGACCTTCATTTTCTATATCAAGGGATAATTATTTTTTCAGTTGTGCACTTTGCATTTATCCACACTGAATTTAATTTGTCATTTTATTCTCCAGTTACACATCCTTCTTTTTCCTTTTCCTCCTTTCATCCTTCTGCAATCTTTCACAGGCTAGTCTTTTCCTTACTATCTTGAATGACTTAACATCAGCAAACTTTGCCACCTCAATGCTCATCTCTTGTAAACATGTTGACTAGAACAGGTCCCAGGGGAACTCTACTGATTATGTCCCTCCACTGTGAGAACTGACCATTTGCTACTACCCTGTTCCCTGTCTTTTGTTCTATTATTTAGCATCATGTCAGGACTCTTCTTCAGTGACAGTCTGTTTTCCTAGAATGTTGATAGTGAGGGCCTTTGCCAATAGCTTTTTGGAATCAGAGGCAGGCTGTCTTACCCAGATCTCCCTTATCTGAATACTTGTTAATGCCTTTGAAGGGCTCAAGGTTTGTAAAACAGGACTTCCTTTTACAGAAGACATATCTAAAAAGGCTTCTATACTGAAATGTCTTTGGTTTCTTTCACAATGAAGTGAATATTTTGCACTGTTGCAAAGAATTAATTCCAATTCTCTGAAATGTTCTTATCCTCTGTGATTCCCCCTTTCTGTATCCCAATCATCAGCTGATAGGAAGATTTAGCACAAAAGGATAAGTTCACTTAATTTTGACTTACCTGATTTTATTATTATATTTAGTTTTGCAAATTTGTAATTTTTTTCTTCAGTTGGGTGCAACTTCAGCTTTTGGAGGAATACTTGAACATTCTTTTATACTATTT